AAGTTCTAGGGATCTAATGTACAGCATGGGTAACTATAGTTAGTAATATAATGTTTACTTGGAATTTGCTAAGAAAGTACGTTTTAAATGTCTTTAGCCTCCTCCAACAAAAGTATCTATGTGTGATGACTGTATAAATAAATAACTGTGGTAATAATTTCATAATATATACACATATCAAACCATCACATTGTATACCCTGAATATACACAATTTTTATTTGTCAGTTATACCTCCATAAAGCTGTGGGAAAAACAGGAACAAGATAGTTTGCTTGTACAAAGAATGGGTTTTGTCATTTCATGAGACATTGGGGCAGGAAAGATGGGCAGGATGGTTATCAACAAGAATCTCCCTTTAGTCCAACAAATACTCTCAGCACTGAGGAAAAAAAACAACAACAACACTTACTGATCATTCCTGGGATAGAAGTGAATAAAAAGTGGGTGCAGGGAAGCGGGTAGTGAGTGGGAGAAAGGCCATGTGAAAAGGGCCCATGCTGCCTGACCCCAAATGGACAATGAATAGGACTGGGGAAGGCAGAGAGTCACACAGAGCTCCAGAGATGAACTCCAAACAGACCCATGGGCCCTGAAAGCAGATGTATTTCACAGAGGAGGAAACTAAGGCTCAGCACAATGTCTAGCCCTGACATGAAAAGGAAGGTAAAGCTGGGTGTGGTGGTGCACACCTGTAATCCTAGCTACTCAGGAGGCTGAGGCAGAAGCATCACCAAATTCAAAGCTAGCTGGACAACTTAATGAGAATTTGCCTGGAAATAAAACTTAGGCTGGAGGTGTAACTCAGTGGTAGAGCACTTGCCTGCCATGCAAAACATGCAAGACATGCAAAGGGCCCTAGGTTCAATCCCCAGTGCTGCAAATAAAAGAAAAAGGTGAACAAAAGAAACCAGAGCAGAGCAGCAATATATGCCTGTGTGGATGGGAAATTAGGTGAGCACACCAAGGGGCCAAATTTCCTAACTACTAAATCAGAAGTTACCTTTAGCCAGGTGTGGTGGCACACACCTGTAATCTCACTTGGGAGGCTGAGGCAGGAGGAATGCTGTAAATTTGAACTACACAGTGAGACTCTGTCTCAAAAAAATAAAATATAAAGCAGGGAAGGCTGGGTGTAGGCCCCTAACCCTGGGGTTCAACTGCAGGAATCCAGATTTGTAAGGCAGAAGCAGGAATGAAAGGTCAGTTATCTCCAAACAGGATCCTTCCTGAAAGCAAGGCTGAGGAACAGGTGGGAAAATACAAGCCTGCTGAGCACGTCCCAGACCAAAGGACATTGTGCTCAGGAGGTAGGAGAGGAAAGAAAGACTCTCAGCACTTCTTATCCCCAAGCAACTCTCATTAGCTTGAGAAGAAAGTCAGTTTTTGTTTTTTGAGACAGGGTCTCATTCTGTTGCCTAGGTTGGGCTTAAGCCATCTTCCTGTCTCAGGGACCCCCACCCCCATTAGCCTGGGCTATGCTTCCCCACACTGGGCTGAGAACAAAGACTGTTAAACATTCTAATTGGCTTCTAGATGTTCAAAGCATTATCACTAACACTGCAAACTAGTTTTTGGAAGAAATAAATTGGCTTCATTTTACAGAAAAGTAAATAGGCTGAAGCGCTCCAAGTAACTTGTCTGAGCCTCACAGCACCTAAAGGCAGAGCCTAGGATGCAGGTGGACCTGTGACCAGGTGAGGGGAACACAGGAGGGGGCTCATCCTGTTGGAAGGCTACACTACAACTGTCTTTATTTTATTTGTATTTTTTTTTATTATTCAACTTTCCATATTTTGAGGCAGCATCTAAACTCTACAGAAAATGACCAGTAATATTTCACTACCTGTGAATGGCACATCTAAGGTTACCAATCTTAGTTCTTAGCTATGATAGTCGTGTGGTATAGCACACTATTTTTATCTATGTTTAGACTCAACACATGTGGATGTTAATAGTAGTAATCAGTCTTCTCTCTTTCTGAATATTTTGCCAGATATATTTTGGTTTTTTGGGGGGATGGGTTGGGATGGGTTGTCCAGGCTGACTTTGATCTCTTGGGCTCAAGAACCCCCTGCCTCAGCCTTCCGAGTAGCTAGGACTACAGGTATGTGCTACCACTCCCAGCTTGTATGTATTTTACAAATGACAACAGTATGGCCATTCCTGTCTCATCTTGTGCCAACTCCTAACCATTGGCCCTCAATAAGACAAGAGAAAAAGAAGTAGGCTGAGGAACTGTCAGTTCTTTTCAAAGCTCTTTTAATTGCAGCTATTTTTAAGTGATGCTCCTAGTGCATACTAGAGGAAAAAAGCTAAGAGAGCTTCTCCCTACCCTTGGAGTTGTCAGGAAGAAACAGAGCCTCCCTAAGAGCAAACAGCCTAGGCTGGAGGAGAACAGCCCCTTTCACTCTCTTTAGCCACCTCCCCTCTTCCTTCAGGCTGTCTGGTCAGAGAGGCAAAAAGGATGAGGACTCAGTCCAGCCAGCCACCCCAAAGTCAAACACCAGAGTCACGTGTCTAGACAACAGCACTGTTTGTACTGTTTGCAGAGTACCTGGTGAAACAATTCCATGAGGCAGCATAAAGGTCCTGGTACTACCTGGAGTCATCTTAGGTCCCCAGGACATTTTCAGAGGTATGAAACTAGGATGGGCGCTCTCTCTCTCTCTCTCTCTCTCTCTCTCTCTGGGTCTCACTCTGCATTCCACAGCCTCAAACTCAGGGCAATCCTCCTGTCTTAAGACTCCGGAGTCAGGCGGGGGATTTAGCTCAGTAGTTCCGCCGCCTGCCTTGTAAGCGGCAAGGTCCTGAGTTCTAGGCCCAGTATCAAAAAAAAAAAAGACTCCAGAGTGCTGGGATTACAGGTGCCATTACCAGACCTAACTCTTCTCTCGTTTCATAAACTACAGAAACTAAGGCTCATAGAAGATATGGGACCTACCTCAGTTCCCTCTTATTCCCTAAAATCCCACTCCATCCCATCTCTTGCTAGATCAAAGCCGTTGTATGCTAATCCAACTTTGATCACTACAATTCAAAACAGAAGCTGGAAAACCAAAGCTGTGCAAGGCCAAGAAAAGAAATGACTGACAAAGTGCAGCTGTCTCAGAAAGGACACAGTTTAAACTGGGAAAGGAAGAAGATTTAAGTGCGACTACGCTGTCTAGACTAGAGCTGTACTTCCAGCTCCTACAGTCGGACAACAGAGACACTTAAGTGGGAAGAGAACGGGAAGGGACACATTTGAGTGAAAGCACCAGAGAATGTAGGTGGACAGAAAGAACTCAAATAACTTGGAGGTAGGATATGGGGGTGTGGAGCATCTGTCTCAAATCTGAGGATGCCTCCTGCCCAATGACCAAGAAATGTGCCCACCTCCAGGCACTGAGTCCTCCCCTGCTGAAGCCCTTCTTGGCTGCCCAGGTCCCACCAGAAGCACCACCAAGTGCTGAGCCCGGAGCACAAGCTTCCACCTTTCCATCTCCTTCACCTCCCACAGCCTTCCAGCAAACAGTTCTGCTATGAGCACCAACTCCCTTCCGAACGTGCAAAACTTTCCAACCTCCTGTCTTTGGTCACAGCTCCACTTCCACTTGGATTGTTCTCACATATTCTGTCCCTGCGAAAAATCCTACCCTCCTTAATGAACTGGGGGAGGAGAGGCAGAGGCTGAGGGAACAATATAGCAGTCTGCTCCCTGAAAGCTACCACAGTACCCTCTCTGTCCTCATCCTCCTCATGCTTACTGGAGCCAACATGGGATTTGCTGTCTAACAAAAGGTAAAGATAATTCTTGCAACCTTTCCCAGATCTGGAATCAGAGAAATCAGCTGTGCTGCGATAAACTGGGAACACTGTAATCCCAGCGTTGTTTCAGCAGGAAGATTGTTGCCTCAAGGAGGGCCAGGTGCAGATTGCCAGATACCAACAAAGAACAGAGTAGCAAAAACACGTTTTCTGCCCTTCCCTTCTGCCCTCTGGGCCAGGAAGCACAGAAACGGAGCCAGGATTTTTGAGCCAAGCTTTAAACTTAGCTCTGCAAGAAGTCGGTCGGCAGGAGATGCTGTACTCTGACTTGTGCAGCTCACTGGTTTGAGTCAGCAGAACCGGATGTCCTGATGAGGTCTCAGCAGGCCATGAGCGCATTAAACTCCCAAAGTCCTCTTGGGAATAGGGGTCAAGTGTCATTGTTCCTTGACACTTCCTTTAGTGTATTCAAGGACACTAAGTGACCACCTTGCCTGAGAGACATTGATCTGGTACCTCTGAGAGCAAGCTCAGGGAATCTACCTGGTTGTAGGAAGGCAGGAATCACTCCGAGCTGTGTGGTCACTTTACATGTGCCAAGATGTCAGCTGGCAACGAAGATGAAGAAAGTCCCAGGGCTACCTTATTAAAGTCTTATTATTAAAGTCCCTTATTAAAGTCGCTAAGTCTCCACTACTAGTGACTTTCTTCACACAGAAAAGAGGCTAGCCCATCAAGATTCTAGGGGCCTAAAAGAAGGAATTCTACCCAATCCTCCTCTACATCCCACTCATGTCTGGGAATCATGATGAGCAAAGACCCAACAGACCTCAGACAGACAGAAAAGCTTCAGGAGCAAAGTCTCCTCACAGCTTCCCCTTCACCACCCCATCCAAGAGCACCATTCCACCCTCTCCCTTTTACTTCTTCAAAGCACTTATTCACTGTGAAAACTCTTTCAGGTTGTTTTCCTTCCTCCAATGGATCCTGATTCCAGGAGGGTAAGACACACAACTAATGTGCTGTTTCTAGTAGCATGGGTGACTCAATTGGACACAATTCAACAAGTGAACCGTTTCTGAAGGCCCTACTTTGTGCCAGCTGCCGGGCACTAGCTGGGGAGGGAACAGGAGGAGGACATGCTCTCATTTTGCCAGTCATGGGAGTGGGACAAGGTCTGGCGCGGGGGAGCCCAGCAGCGGTTGGAGCCGTCCCACCCCGCCAGCGCCCGGCCCCCCGCCCCGCGCTCACCCGCTGCAGCTCGAGCTCTATCTCGACGGCCTTGAGCACGATGGGCCCCCGCACGGCGTACTCCACCGCGCGCACCTGCGGGTTCATGGACTCTGGGGTGAGGATGCGCCCGCGCCGCGCCCGGAGCACGGCTGGGGCCTCGGCGGCCGCGCTGCTCCAACGGCGGCCCCAGGCGCCCGCGGTGCGGGGACAGCAGCCCTTGCGGGCCAGGGCCGCCGCCCGCTGCATCGCGCGCCTGCCGGGGAGACCTGGCACAAAAGGGAACACGAGCGTCGCGCACAGCCCACGGCGGACGCCCGTGCTCTCACACGCCTAGCCCAGGGTTCCTTGGGCGAGCGGTGCCAGCCTAGCTGCGGACCCGGGCGACCATCCCCCGGCGGCGGGGACCGTTCTCCTGATCCTGCCGCACCAATCACAGGGCGTGCACACTGCTGCGCCCGGCCAAGCTAGTCTGGAGAGGTCCTGGCCAGCCCCGCCACCCCGCACACCCACCTTCACGGCTCCGCCCAGCCCGCGCGCCCCTTCTTGGGCCTTGTAGTCCTCTGGCTGCTCTGTAGCCGCGGCGCAGGGCCGGGTGGACTATAAGTCCCATGATGCCCCGCGCTGGCCGAGGGGGCCGGGCAGGAGGCGGGCGCGCTCCTCCAGCCGGGGCCGGGCGGGCTCTTTGTCCACGCTGAGAGGATGTGGGACTTGCAGAGGAGATAGGGGGCCCAATGGCTGTTGTATCCACGCCAGGCCAGCCTGTCCTCTCTGTCTTTGCAATTTAGAAGTGTTGGCAGTTTCTTCCTGGAGACCCATTCTGCCTCTCTCCACCCTCACCTCGCATCACCTGCAAGAACACGGGCTTGGAAATGGTGTAGTCTTCGCCCCGGGTTTCATCATCCAGGACAGAGTGGTGGCACTGGCCGCTCTACAGCGCTAGTGGGAGGGAAGTGAGGAAAAGGTGTCTGGGTTTGTCTGTGCGTCCCTGACGCCTGTCACCAGCAGTTTCCTTGTCAGCAAAACCCTCTCTGAGAGTTGCTGTGAGAATTAAAGATTCATATGCCAGGTAGTGAGGCTTTTCCGACCATTTTGCCCCTTCCCTGCTTTATTTCTTTTCTAATATCTAAAATTGTCATCTTTAGATAATTCTCACTGGCTTATGCCCCACCTCATACCATATAAGCTCCAAAAGGCCAGGGACAAATTTCTTCGCCTTATTCACAGCAGGTCTTAATACTTCCCAGAACATGGAAGTCAGTATTTATTGAAGAAGGACTGCTCAGCACAGAGTGGCTATTATTATTATTTTGTTTGGTTGGGTTTTTTTGGTACCGAGGATCGAACTCGGGTCCTTGCGCTTGCACAGCAGGCAGCCAAAACCACTGAGCTAAATCCCCGGCCCTGTGGCTATTACTTTTGGTAAAGGCTTTGCTAAGACAAAAGGTAACCTGGCTCATCCAGGACCAGTGTAGGTGGTAGAGTGCGATGGTGCAAAGAGTAGGAATAGAAAATATGGGGACTGAGACATCGAAATGTATAGCTGCTTCCCCTCTCTGGGCTTCAGACTATTTGCAAAATAAATTGGATTAAATGCCTCCAGTACCTTTCTGTCTTGGAAATTCTATGAGTCTAGGTGTTTCCAGGCAGAAAGCCCAGAATTTGTACAGCTCAATAAACATATACATTCATATTAGATTTGTGAAAGTTAGGGGTAGGGGATGCTTAAACCCAACAATGTAGAAGAGAAAGTATCAGGGAATCAGATTTGAACATAGTTGCATACAGTCACTTACTGTATACGTGACTTTGAGCATGTTACTTGGCCTTCTTGTGCAAAGGTATAGCAACACCTACTTCATGCAACTGTGGAGAAAGTTCAAGAGGAACTTTGTAAAAATCAGAGCTTGGATCCTAATGCTGTGAGTCACTCTTGTTAATAATCCTTGTCAAGAGAATGCCATAAGTTTAGATTAAGTTGATTACCAGTAAAGTGGGGTGAGAGAACAGAAAACAAAGCTATCTCTGAGCATTCCTGGGAATTTGTTTTAGGCTGCTAATATACAAGTTCCAACCCTCGCATCTGTGTCTACGTTGTCTTCTTCCCAGCCTCCCAGGTAAAATATTTTCCCGCAGTGATCTGATCTCCTGTGAGGACTCCACTGCCTTCTGTATCATGTAGTCACCCAGTTTACTCAGTTGAGGGGACACAAACATGTCTCCACCTCAGAGATGTGCTTAACCCTGACCTGTGTGATGTAAATACAATTCTTTGCTGTCCACAGAGAGTCAGTGCACTATGTCCTTCCTGCTCTCTCTGCCCCAGATCTGTAGCAGCGGGGGAGCTGGGAAGGCGGGCTGAGGTAAACAAAATCCATTTGCACAACAGGGACAAACAACACCCAGCACAACCCACATTCATGAGCTCCAACGTCATCCCTGAAAAAACAAGTAGTTATTTTCCCTAACATGTTCTGTCAATGTATCTCCCTGAACTTGCATAAGAAGAAAACTCCCTTGCTCTATTGTGAACCACAGTTTATAAGCACTTTCTTGTCCAAAAGGGCAGTTTTATCACCACTTTACAGAGGTTCAGAGAGGTTAAGTAACTTGTTCAGTTGGAATAAGAATTGTACTTCCTGATGCAGTGCTGCAGCACCCACCCACCTAGGGACCAGTCTTGCATAGCTGTTTGTTTGGAAATTTGAACTGCCCATTGCACATGTACCAACTCCCCACAATGAATGTAATTATTATGTACTATTGATTGTAGCAGACGTCCCTTCCCCATTCCCTATAACTGATATAAAAGAAATATAATTCTCAACCTATTGGATGTCAGATGTGCCAAGTTCATGTCCTCTGAAGTTGAAGAATGAATTCCAAAGGACAAAGGAGGGCAAGAGTAAGGAATGTTTATTGAGAGATTGCTCCTGAGAGACAGAAGGGGTCCCAGAAGCAGGTTGCCACCGAGGCCCTTTGTCAGGGATAATTTATACAGCAAATTCACAATGTGGGTACAACAGGGGTCAGACTATAATCAACCTATAGTACTACACGTATAGCTGCTTAGCTAATATTGATCAATAGGGAAGCAAGTCGCATAGCAATGGTGCATAGAAAGAACAAAGGTATTTTGGGGAAAGGATGGGTCCAAGTGCTCTGGTCACCCACTTGGGCAACTGATGTTTATCTGGACTTCCTGGACCAAGTGGTGCTACATTTTTTTTTTTTAAGCAAAACATTTATTGGTACATTTTAGGTATACATAATAACACTCATAGAGAATTTGCACCTGTACATCATATATCCTGCTTCTTTTTTCCCATTCCCCCACCCCCATATACAAAAGCTTTGTTTCTATTTTTTCTTTCTATTTTCACTTTCCTTTCTTGTTCCTTCCTTCCCCATCCCCCCCCCCTTGTTCCTTTTCCAATTTGAACATTTTCTTCCCATTTCCCAATGTCTATTCAAGCGGTGCTAATTATACTAAAATTCCAAGTTACTACTTTTCCCTCAAGGAGGCATGTATTGCATTCTTATCTTGAGGCCTGGTCTTCTTCAGATGTGCCTCCAGCCGCAATTCTGATGTCTTTATTCTATCTGCTGACTTCCTTGAGAGCCCAGTTCCTCTCTGACTGTGCATTAATTTCTATCTAACTTAGCTGCCTATTATACTACAAAAATAGGCAAATAAAAATTTAAAGCCGAGATGGGTATGGTGGTACATGTCTGTAATCCCAGTAATTAGGAGGCTGAGGCAGGAGCATCTCCACAAATTTGAGGCCAGCCTGGGTTACATAGTGAGTTCAAGGCCAGCCTGGACTACATAGCAAGATCTTGTCTCAATCACTGCCCCCAATCAAATTTTTAAAAGAAAGGTACATTTAGTATTAAATTGTTATTATATCTCATTTAACCACCTAAGTGTAATTCTACTTCTACTGGGTCAATAAAAATTGAACTCAAATCAACAATGTTCATACCTGGTGGTTAACAGCTTCTGGGGTACTGGGCACTCTTAGAGATTCTTTCTGTTGGGATAAACAGGCTGATATTAGTCCAGGTTCTTGTTTATGACTCGGAAAGAATTACCAAGTGTAAACCCTGTAGTAAGTAGCAAGTAGCTACATTTATTGAAGATTATGAGAAGTTATAATGGGGCAAATCAGGCCACCACAAGCTAAAGCACAGACAGAAGAAAGTATGGGGGTGACAGAAAAGCACTGCACGCAGGTCAAAGCACACAACAGAGCAGCAAACAGAGCAACAGAGCAACAAAAACCATGAATAAATAAGGCTTTTGGAATTTAAAGGCCAACCACCTCTGCTTAGGTGCCTCCCCCTTCATCTCTGGGTGTGGTTGACAAGAATGACTGACAGGGTCATTTTAGGGGCTCTCAACACATGTTTGTCCCAGAATTTACTGTGATCTTAATTATATTTATGACATGTAGGGCATATTTATGAACCTGTAATGAGGTGGGAACAGGGTAGAGGTGACAAGAAGGTCAGGTTTAGAGATCCAACATGCCTGTGCTCTCACCTAGAGCATCAGAGGTCTCTTGGATTTTTGTTATTTTATACCCCTCTTAAGACAGTGGAAGCAGGAATAACTGTAGGGTACTGTTTAGTGTCCGAAGCCATTCTACATAATTTTGGGGGGAAAATCATTGCATAATTAAAGTATGACTATAGCTGTCTAAGGCTCAATGTCACTTTGCCCAAGAGCTGGCTGTGGTATGCGGAAACATAACTCTGCGTCCAGTTACAAGTTGAGGCCTAAATGGTCCCATGATACTGTGATGCTCAAGGGCAAGAGTACATCAGCTGAAGACATCCTGGTTCTTTGAGAACCAAGTAGTAATAAAAACAGAAAGGTTTCACCTGAGGGAAGGACAAATTATTAGCCTGCTATCTCATCCCACCTATTATAAGAATGCTCTCCTTATTGCTCTCATCAACAAAAGATTACTGCCACCCTCTGAGTCTTATCACCTGATACTCCCTCCAAGTATTTATTTATTTATTTATTTAATTAATTAATTTTTTTTTTTGGTACCAGGGATCAAACTCGGGTCCTTGTGCTTGCATAGCAGGCGGAGAAACCACTGAGCTAAATCCCCGGCCCTGTATTTATTTATTTTGAGGGGGGGGGGGGTACTGGGAATCGAACTCAGGACTTTGCACTTGCCAAGCAGGCACAGCATCTCTAAGCTAAATCCCTGGCCCTCCCTCCAATTATTGTGTGTACCCAATAAATAATGGCTAGCTTGGAGTGTCTTTTTCTTTGCCTGCTCTGAGGCACTGACCTCCCAGAACCCCATGTACTATGAAATTCTGCAAGTCTCTACTGTCTATCTTTCTTTAGCCCTCACCATTCCCTTTTCTAGGCAGATCACAGGATTGATTGGCCTCTGATATTTGGCACCCATGTGGGAGCACAAAGGTCTGAGAGGGATGATTCCACGTGAGTGGAGG